ACATTTTGCAAAACTAGTATTATGTGCCTTTAAAAGAAAAAAATGTACCTTTGAAGCGATATACTCGTAGCCTTAACAAGAATTTGCATATGGCGAGGTAAACCTTGTCAAAGAAAAGTCATTTGAGGGGGTGGTGATGAACTTTAGGCCGTTTCCTTAGATATTTTAACGACCAAAACATACCACTGAAGTTTAAGATCATTTAAAACAAATGATGATACCGAATACGTCACTCCTGATGGTCAGGTGATTGTCAATTGATGTTTGTCAAAAAATATAATTAGAGGAGGAAGGAAATTGTCTTCTGTACGTTTAGAAATTGTACTCTCTGCACATCCAGATATACTAGGTGTCTAAAGTATAGCTATTCATGACAATATATTCCTGAGGTAGAAAATCTCTAGTATTTTGAACAAAATTTAAGTTTTGTAAAAAGTTAACAGGAAATGTTCCAAGAAGCATGTAAGTGTTGAAGAAAAGAACCTAATCAAAATCAAATGGAAGTAAAAATTAGCATAAAGAACAAAATCATCATCAAGTAAGAAATCATATACAGCAGACTTTTTTTCATCCAAATTATATGTGTTCTTTGACGCGTGAACATTTCCAAGAACAATTAGTGGATAGGATAAAAAGAAAAATTTGAAAGAGGTCATTATTAAGATTCTTTAATCGGAAGAATTCCTGTTTTTTGCTCGAATTTATTCTAATTTCAAATATCAATAAATAAATTCATCATCATAGAAACCAGGATTAAAATTCCATACGCCAGGCTTTTTGTCTAAAAAGGACTCATGAATAAGCGACGCTCTAATGAAAAAAAGTATAAAAAAAGGCCAAGTAGCACGAAGTTGAAAAACATTGAGGACCAAAACTACCAAAAAGGTTGTCAATATGATACTATTTGTATAATAAAAAATTCTGTAATTATTTATTGGATCTTTATACTTTTTTATAATTGTATTAAGACATAAGATGACATAGAATTTGCAATTAGATGAATCAGAGTGCATCAAAAATGAAATTCAGACAAACCACGCACAAGAACTTTTACTTCTTGTAAATGAGAAGCTTCTATATAAACAAAAGATTTTTCATGTAGAATGTAAAAACTTAACCGAAAAATATAACAATGACAGAAAGATAAAAAAATAAAGAGGACCAAAAGGATAAACTATGTGATGGAAAATTACTGTAGAGAAATGCATAAACGGTATCTAAAACGAAATTAAATAAATATCGCAGGCTTGATGGCCTAACGGTAAAATTTTATAGACAATTTTGAGATTCTCTTAAATTATTATATATTTTAGTTGTAGATATTCACAACGCACCAGTAATACTAATTTGATATTCATATAGGGATATCCTTTGATTACTTCTTTATACAGAATTTTGACATATGTTGTTGCGCAAAGAGTAAAAAGGGCACATCCACAAATTATCAATGAAAGTCAAACCAGTGTATGCTGCATAAATATTTTTGAGTTAAATCTGAGACAAACTCAAAGGTTAAAGACTATGCAGACACATACAATATTAAGGGCCAAAAGTGTTTGTAGATTTTACCAAAGCATTTGATTCATTGGAATGGGATTTTATGTTTGGAACTTTGAGGCATTTTTGGGGTTTTACTAATCATTTATTAACTGTGTAAAAACTTTGTACACAGAAATACAAACATGTATTATCATCAATGAGTAGGTATCAGAAACTTTCAAAAATTCCCATAGAATTAGACAAGAATGTCTTTTGTCAGCTCAATTGTCTGTTTTGTTCGTTGAAATTGTGGTTCAGAGATTAAGAAATAAGAAAATTTTAACAGGTATCACTGTTAAAACTAGAGAAGACAAGTCATAATATCAAGATTTCACAAGTAGCCTACTACATAAAACTGTTTTGCAACGATAAAAACGATGTGGTAATTACAATGAACGAAATATAAATGTTTGGTTAACTAAACAGAGGGTTTATGGAAAGGGAAATTGAAATTGTGTTAAGATAAAATCGTCGGGATCAAGTTGGGAGAAACAGCTATTAAAGCTATTAAAGAAATCTTTCCATTTAAGGGCATACGATACAGTAGAGATCCCTCGTTGATTTCTTCTTAAAATTTTCGAAGAAGGTCAATTTCGATGTGTACTTTTGAAATATGCAAAGAAAAATATATCTTCATGACTTAGTTTTTGAGGTAATTTGGTTCGAAATTTGCATATTTGAAGGAAAAACCCAGAATTGTTTTAAATCAGGACTTTAAGGAAAGTACAAATACTTTTGAACAAACAGTCATAATTTAACCGGGTTTTTTGTAAAATGTTCCCTTGATCCATGGCATCAGCATGCTGTAACAAGTTAACGGTTGAAATAAATAGTTATATCCTAAGTTCTTTTAATACAAGTGAAATAAAGAAGATGAAAATATTTTTGCGTCTACAGAGAAGTGCAGAAAAAATTCTATCATTGATTTTTTCTTAAAATTTTGGCGGAGCGTTCTTGAAACAGAACTTGATTGATTGCAAAAGAAAAAACTGGGGGTCCATGTGCTTGTTTTTTCAATAAAAGCAATAAACCTTAATTTTTATTGGCAAACGGGACGTTTGCCAATAAGGCGCCAAACTACGTTGGAATAAGTTTTATTCTCAACAACGTCGTGTAATCTTTCCCGCCGTTCACTACTAAGTTGTCAATTTCAGTGGTAGAGCCAAAGTGTTTTTTTTTTTTTTAAACCAATGATATTAATCATGAAAATTAATAATGCTGGCTTTTCGTAAATAGCATCATATTTGCCAAACCTTTATGAATTGTTACGAAACTTGGATAGAAAAAGTATTCTAGTAAATTACTTTTAGAAAAGAAATGTTCGGAAACAAAACAGATATATATATAATAAAAAAATTAATTTGCATCTCTGCATGTCCGACATTAGTCATACAATTCATGTAGACAACACAGCCTGAACATAGTTTTAATTATTCAAAAGGCCCCGACATGACAAAATGTGCAACAATTATAAAGTAAGGGGGGGTGATAAAAAAATAAGGACATTTGGTATGTTTGCAAAAGAGACAACTATCAACCACAGTTCAAATGACGAAGATAAACGCTATTAAAGGTAACCCTACGGCCTTCAACACAAAAAAAAAAAAAAAAAAAAAGCCACACCGTATAGTCAGCTTTAAAAAGCCCCGACATGAAAATGTGAAATAATTCAAACAAGAAAACTAACGACCTACTCTATAGGCATTACATGAACACAAAATCATATCCACATTAAATCGGGTCAGCTTAGTCCATTACAGTGTAGTATAACATTCCATACAGCAGTCGATATTAGAGCATGAAATTTAATGATTCTGTATCAATAGATAAGTTACCTAAGCTTGTATTCAGGGTATTTTTTTTGCTACGGTACATATAATCATTGAATTACTTGTCTGTATTATACCTTCAATCTAGGAGTGAGTGCAACCACATTGTTTGTTCGGTCCAACAAATATTTTGTTTCTTATCTGGGAAACTTCTTTACAAAAAGGCTTCGTATTGTTCAGTAACTTAACATCAATGAGTTTCAACTCTGGTCTGTCAAATACCTAATTCCTGTGTGCCGATTTTTCTCTCTCAATATGTACATAGAGGATATGCTTAGCACATCAACGGGTGCGTTTTTTGTTTTTGGGCTATAATACGGGGCTTATAACTTTGTCATTTTAACTGACAGTTCTTCTTCATACACATATATATTCCACGGGTTAAATTCTAAAACTGTCGTTAAACTCTTTATTGTACCTTTTCAAAGTCAGGAACAGTATGATGCGCTGTCATTATTTATTACGTTTTTTTGTGAGCCGAATGCTGAAGTAACTATATAAATTACTTATTGTTTTTTTGTTGTTTTTTTTTTTTGTGTAGTTGGGTTTCTCTCTCATCGACGTCTTATGTTGTTCATATCTGTTATTCATTTCCTATATGAAATAACAGACATACAAAGTTAAGAATGCGGATCTGATTTTTTTCCTATTCGAAGTTAATATTGTTGACTTCCTTATTAATGAATAAATATAACAATTCTCGTGATTTGGCCAATTTTCATTGCAGATACTTTTTTCAAATTCGCGCAATCGGGATTATGACGTCAGTGGATTTTCCGCAAATGTGACTACATCTAAAGCGACGTCGCGAATTGTAATCGTTCTCATTAGAAACATCGCGAAATTACAACGTTCTGATTAACAACGTCGCGAAAACAAAACGAAAAGTTTTGAAAACGTTATTATCTGCCCCTGCTACTGTATCGTATGCCCTTAAAGTAAAATATTATGCAAAAATACTTATATCTTTATCTTGCCTTTATTTACATTCTTTTGAAGTGTTTGTCTTATTTCTGAAAATAATTAAAAAGAAATGGAAAACAGAAGCTTTAAATGAAATTGGGATGGGAAACCAGACAAATAAAAAATAACCTGATGATGGGTCCGTATAAAGGGGGGGGGGGGGGGGGGGGGGGGGGGTTAGAAATAAAATTGGCTCCGTTGATTTTTGAAGAGTTTATTTATAAAATAAAAACATTCTGAAGATGTGGGACGTATAACGATTAGAAGAAATTCTTATTTTATCTTTTCGACCAAGCAAGCTAGATAAATTTTTAAATATATTAAAAGAAAAAAGTAAAATAACAAATAAATCGAACTCCGAGGCAAATTAGAAACGGAAAGTCCCTAATCAAATGGCAAAATCAAAAGCAAAAACACATCAAATGAATAGATAACAAATGTTATATTTCTGACTTGGTACAGGCATTTTCTAATGTAGAAAATGGTGGATTGAAATTAAATGTATTTAGAAATCATTTCCTAGAATTAGGACAATTTTTATTCATGCTGCTACGTGGTTGTTAAAATATCAGGTTTCATTTTGTTTTGACTAAATGACATGCAATGTGTTCATTAATTGTATAACACTGGCATAAAACCAACGAAAAACAGTCAACATCATTCCTGCTATCCAACAATAGTATACACTATAAAGATGAGAATACAGTTTATCCTTGCCTTTCTGACTATGAGTGTTAGTGTTTCAGGAGACTGTAATGCTGGTCATGGTAGGTGTAATAAGTTGTTAGTTTTCATGAACAATTTGGTAGATGTGACAATTCGTAGACCCTAAGGTAAACCACAGATTGCATTTAATAAACCAAATGTAATAGTTTACAAGAAGTTGATAGGGCAAATAATATAATTTGTCTAGTCCAATGGCAAATATATTATGAACATTCATGACTAAGCTCTTAAAAGTGTTTCTATTCGTTTTCAATTGTAAGTACCATTATACTTTGCAGTTAACTTTTTTTTGGCGAGCATGTCATTCAACAGATCAAATTAATTGTGAGTATCCAATGAGTTCCTGGAATTTGAAGAAAACATGATTTCTTAATTTAAGTTAAAAATTTTGAACTGTCTTTCGACATCAACCATTACCCTTTGAGACGATATTTCATTTATTGTTTATCTTATATTCTTCATTTGTTTGTGTGTTTGTTTGCCTGTTTGTTGATTTGTTTGTTTGTTTGTAGAGTTTGTTGGATTTATCTTTTTAGGGTGGGTGGTTCTTTCATACAGTCTGTTATAAAGTTATTATGGATAAAGTCATCGTGGAAATTTGTTGTGAATGACATTTTTGAGAGTTTCAGTTGAATATATACATAGCTTATCTATGCGCTTTGGTTTTAAACATATTGTATAAATAAACAAATAGATAAGACACTTCGATGGGTACTGTGTGCGAACCTAAAAACATCATTTGTTGGCTTTTTTTTAAATTTGGGTGCATCCGCCGAGTCTTATTTTTCATATTTCACAGAACGAAATCCCAAGTAACAGTTAAAACCATATGCAGCAAATTGAGTTTTATCATCATATTGCAACTATTAACTGTAATTAGTCAATTAACAATCAGTAACTGTGAGCAGTTAACTCACTCTTTATCTCACTTGGCCCTATGGGCCAAGTGATCTTTTCTCATCACTTGGCGTCCGTCGTCCGTCGTCATCGTCGTCGTCGTCGTCATCGTCGTCGTCCGTCGTTGTCAGTCAACTTTTACAAAAATCTTCTACTCTGAAACTACATAGACAAATTCAACCAAACTTGACCACAATCATCATTAGGGTATCTAGTTAAAAAAATGTGTCCGATGACCCCGCCTACAAACCAATTTTAACCAACTAATATTTCACAGAACGAATCCCCAGTAACAGTTAAAACCATATGCAGCAAATTGAGTTTTATATCATATCTAGTTAAAAACATGTTTCCGATGACCCCGCCTGCCAATCAACATGGCCGACATGGCTAAACATAGAACATAGGGGTAAAATGCAGTTTTTGGCTTATATCTCTAAAACTAAAGTAGTTAGAGCAAATACGACGGGCTAAAAATTTTCATCAGGTTTAGATCTATCTGCTCTAAAATTTTAAGACGTATCAGACAACCTGTTGTTGGGTTGCTGCTCCTGAATAAGTACTTGTAAGGAAATTTTGCAGTTTTGGTTATTATTTTGAATATTATTATAGATAGAGATAAACTGTAAACAGCAATAATGTTCAGTAAAGTAAGATCTACAAATAAGTCAAACATTACCAAAATTGTCAATTGACCTCTTAAGGAGTTTTTATAGTCAATTTTTCACAATTTTTCGTAAATTTTTGTAATCTTTTAAAAAATTCTTCTCCTCTGAAACTACTTTAACAAATTTAATCACACTTGGCAACAATCATCATTGGGGTATCTATTTAAATAATATGTCTGATGACCTCGCCTGCCAACCAAGATGGCCAACATGGCTTAAAATAGAACATAGGAGGTAAAATGCAAGTTTTGTCTTTTATTTTGAAAACCATTATAAAGAGAGAAAATCTGACAAGAGAAAATATGTTCAGGATTTTGAGCTCTACCAATTGTCCATACATGTCTAAACTGTCAGATTACTTCTTATAGGATTTATTGCCCTTAAATGGCAAACCATTTTTTTTTTTTTCAATTTTGCCTACTATCTTGAAAACTATAATAGATACAGAGAAACTTTAAGATGATCAGCAAGACAAGTTCTAAAAATAGGTCAACATGCTCGAAATCGTCAATTGACTCCTTATTAGAGTTATTGCCCTTTGATGATGATTTTGACGATTTTTTGGCGTTTTTGCCTTATATCTTAAAACTATAATAGACAAATAGAAACTTAGCTAGGCAAAAATGATCAGCAAAACAAAATCTACAATGAAGACAATATGGAGGAAATGGTCACCCGACTCCTAATTGGAGTTATTGCCCTTTAAAGACGATTTTCACCCTTTTTTTTTGCGTTTTGTCATATATGATAGAAAATTATAATAGATAAAGATACACTTTAAATCACAAAAATGATCAGCAAGGCAAGATCTACTAACAAGTCAAATTTTGCTGATATAGTTAAGTAGACTGTGACTCTTTATAGGAGTGATTGCCCTTATTTGAAGATTTTTTATCCTCTTTTGTGTTTTGAGCAAAAACTAAAGAAGATAGAGAGAAACTATACAGGCTAAATGATCAGCAATATAAGATCAACAAAACAGATTTTTTTCATGAATTCTATTCTTGTCTACAATGTTGGAAATTGTCCTTTGTTGAATATGCACATAGAACAAGGTGAGGGACATAGGCTCTTTAGAACCTCTGGTTAACTTAATTCATACTGTGTATTATAGGAAAGACAACTTGTATCACAGAAGATCTACTTCAGATGTTCATAAGAGTAAACAGACAAAGTGACATAAAACCAGGTATGATTTATTCATCTTTAATTCCTATACAATTAAAGAAAACGAAAACTTGGAACTTTTTGTACAAATCTCATGTTTCTATGATCACATGGCGGGTGGTGCATGCATTGCAGAAGACCTTGTCCTGTCGACACACCCAGTCCTATTGTAACCTCAGTATTTTCTCTAAAGTTTGATTTGTATCTTTTCGGTGGATATGTGAGAAAACTACTGTTGCATCTACTGCTAATCAATGACAACATATATATTTGCCTTGTTTAACAATGAAACGCTAGAAATCGGGGAATACAGAGAATGATCAAAATGGCTTGCACATTTGTCAAGCAGATCAAATTACAAAGAAGTTGTACATAGAAAAGCGGTCAGATAATCTTAATAACGAATTCTATATATCTCATGTTCTTAATGTTATGAGTTATATACAAATTAGTTTCTACTTTCAGAAATATTTTCCAAGAAACTTACAACTGTTATTGTCCTCACGTATAAGTGATAGACTTGCACTGTATTAATAATTTAATGTATACTCTATTGAAACATATTTCATAAAATATATTGTAAAGTTGCTTGTTTGTTTGGATTTTTACTAATGTGTGTTCTTGTTGGTCTAATTGTTAATGTAAAGCCGAATAATATTAAAAATTAATTTGACCTGAATATATAAATGTTATTCCTAGTTAATAGGCCAATGTTTTTGTTTCATGACAAAAAGAGAGGCCTGGTTTCCTAGCTTTCGTGAAGAATCATCCAACACTGTCCAACAATGTGATAAAGTTTGATGATGTAGAAATAAATATTGGAAACCATTACAACCCTACCACTGGAGTTTTCACTGCACCTGGAAATGGCCTCTATGTCTTGTCTTCCATGATTATGGCATATGGTAGTACAACAATTCAGTATGAATGGCGAAAGAATGATTCTATTTTTTCTTACGGATATACAGACAAAGCATACAGTAGTTTTCAGTCCCAGACATTTATCTTTGAACTGAAGAAAGGGGATCGTATTTACATAAAGCACCGAACTTCAAGTAGTGAAAAACTACACGGAGTACACTACCTCTTCTTATATTTATTAATTTCCGTCTCTACACAGTGACGTCCTATTTCACAGATGTAGATTTGTAATGAAACAGAAAGCCATCGCTGTCTTGTAGTTAAAGAAATTTGCAAATTATTGAATTGGTGAAATTTCTTCAAATGCTGCTTTTCAATTTAACTTTTTCACATCCGTGATTAAAAAAATCTAATTAAAGTGTATGACAAAATTTATTTGCGAGAATGATAATTTACTCAATAGGCGATGTCAATGAAAACTTTTAGAATGTATGAATTTAAAACAAAATATTTACCTAAAAAAGTATAACAATGACAGAAAGATGGAAAATAAAGTGGACGAAAAGGATTTACTATGTGATGGAATCTAAGGTAGAGGAATGTATTAACGGCATCTAAAACAAATTAAATAAATCTCCTGGGTTTGATGGTCTTGTATTAAAAATGTATAGACAATTTTGGGATATACTAAAATTATTAGTTGTGAATATCCTAAATACCGGCTACGATAGACAACGTTTACCATATTCACAACTCACCAGTATATTAACTTTGATATTCATTAAGAGTTATCCTTTGTTTTAGAAAACTATCGTCTCGTTTCACTTCTTAATACAGATTTTAAACTTTTGTCATATTTCTTCCTAAAAGATATTAAAAAGGTGTACTTCCAAAAATTAACAGTGAAGATCAAATCGGTTGTGATGAGAAAAAGGTTTAATGAGTTTAATCTGAGACAAACTCAAAGGTTAAAGACTATGCAGACACATACAATATTGAGGAGACAAAACGCGTGTCTGGCGTACAAAATTTAATCATTGTATCTATATCTAGTTTGTATGTTTGTTGCATAAATATAAATTTTTTTTTAATAATGAATACGAAAAGACAACAATAAAATGATCGCATTTAATTATATCTAGGGGATTAAAAAGTCTAGAAATCGTTAATTCCAAGTAAAAAGTTAAAATTTTAGTTACCGTGTATATTTATGGATGAAAGTCCAAGTTAATAAGCCTGTGTAATTGTTTTAGAACCGAAAAAGAGGATTGTCTTTCTAGCTTTTGTGAAACGCAATCAAATACTGTCCAACAATGTGATAAAGTTTGATGATGTAGAAACAAATAATGGAAACCATTACAACCCTACCACTGGAGTTTTCACAGCTCCTAGAAATGGTCTGTATGTCTTGTTTTCTATGATTATGGCATTTCGTGATAATTTTTTATGAATGGCACAAGAATGATGCTGTCTTTTCTAATGGATATACGCAGTAGTTCTCAGTCCCAGACGTTTGTCTTCGATCTGAAGAAAGGGGATCACATTAACATAAAGCACCAAACTTTAGTGGTGAAACACTACACGGATGACGCTTTTCTTATTTTAGTGGTTACCTTTTACAATAAACGATTAAATAAAATAAAATTGAGAATGGAAATGCGGAATATGTCAAAGAGACAACAACCGACCAAAGAGCAGCGACCACCAATGGGTCTTCAACGCAGCGAGAAAATCCCGCACCCGGAGGTGGTCCTCAGCTGGCCCCTAAATTAAATTGTGTACTAGTTCAATGAAAATGGACGTCACACTAAACTCCAAAACATATAAATGAACTAAAATTAAAAAAACATACAAGACTAACAAAGTCCAGAGGGTCCTGACTTGGGACAGGCGCAAAAATGCGGCGGGGTTAAACATGTTCTGTGAGATCTCAACCCTCCCCCTATACCTCTAGCCAATGTAGAATAAAGAAACACATAGCGATACGCACAGTAAAACTCAGTTTAAAAGAAGTCCGAGTCCGATGTCAGAATAGGTAACAAAAGAAACTAAGCAAAATGACAATGATACATAAATGAACAAAGGACTACTAGCAGTTACTGACATGCCAGCTCCAGACCTCAATTAAACTGATTAAAAGATTATCACTTCATCATATGAAAATCAAGTACAATCCCTCCCGTTAGGTGTTTAGTATCATACCATCATAAAATATATGAGAAGAACATAACCCGTTTCATGCCAACAACTGGTTTTGAATAAATGTGGTTATTTCCGATTCAAAGACCCTATGAGTGAATCAATGTTAATACCAAAATATGCAATCCTTAATGACTTGACAACAGTATCGTATGCCTATTTGTCAATTAAAGTTCACATTTTCTACCTCAAATGGTCAATTTATAATTCTTGTCACAACAGTATCATCTGTAACCATATATCTGACACAATTTACCTAATAAATATACTAGAAGTGTTCAAACAAAGCCATATTTGCAATAGTTGTATGTATGCAGATACCAGTCTGAGATATAAATTCACTTAAAATGTTATAGAGATGACTGCTAACATCTAATTTTTGCATAACTTCCAAGCATAGTTATTGTTTTCTATATCAAGAACTTCAAAATCATAAAATCATAGCATTTACAAGTTAAATTATCTGTTTTATGACCCAGGGGGTAGGCAATTTTCTCTGTTTTTTGCCCCTGGGGCCTCAAATTTCCTAAATTATTCTGCTGTTTCTAGCAATTTGGAATATTTAGTACATATTCAGGATAGAACACACTATTGTAAGTTTTGTTGAGATATTTTTGTATTTCTAGCTTGTATTTTTTATGCCGTGGTGACAAAAAAGCAGATTTAGGTGTTACGGCTTACTTTTGGGTTAATGACAGGACACAAACATCCCATAAATAATATTTAGGAAGGATCGATGAGTTTCAATGACTGCGAAGAGTAAATATAAGCACTTCTTAACAATTTAATTTACAAACATGCAAATATTATGAATTAATTTTGTATTCAGGACTTTAAGCAAACTATGCATACTGTAAACTGTGAATTTATGCTGAGTCATCATATCTAAGGCCCAGGATTCTATCAATCTTCATGAAATATTTATAAAACTTCATATTTGAGTTAATTTCTTTAAAATCTGTGAGATAAAGCAAATTTGGTTAAATTCTGGATGTTTTCTTTTTTCACCCTATATAGGTTGCATTTCTGTAAATATTGACAATGCATTTTCCCATAGGAACTCCTTTTACGGCTAAAACTGTACCACTTTTACTATGAAGTTTTGAACAAAATCTTATCCTAGAATTGAAAGTTCATATGCACTACAATTTTTTTCAAAGGTCAAAATATAGGGCTGTGCGGCATATTTTCAACGTTTATATGCCCTGAACTTTTCAGAGTTTAAACTAACACTAATTTTCTTAACTACCCCTACCTCGAATGAAGGGTTACCAGAGATTTCAATGTAAACAATATGCACATGTATATTTACTGGTAACATTCCCAAGTTATGTCTCTATGAGATGGAACACAGAGAGCATAACTGGGAACCAGTATGTAAACAAAATTAATTTTCTATGAATATTCTAAATCTCCCCAAAAGAGGCGTGGTTTGAGAAACAGCTGTATTTACAAAGTGCAACCTAAAGATAAATATATCAAGATCCAGGAAAGGGCAGTGTTCATTGTTAGTATTAGCTTTATTTAAAGTTAGTTCGGCAGGATAAATCTCTTTAGTGTACATACTGAAGTCGTCATTATTGAGAGCCAATATATCATCAAAATATCTAAAAGTGTTATTAAATTTTTGAATCAGATGTTGTTTCGATGGGTCTTTGCTGATTTTAGTCATAAAATGTAACTCAAAACAATACATAAACAGATCCGCAATAAGTGGTGCACAGTTAGTCCCCATGGGAATTCCGATAACCTGACGATATACAGAATCTCCATAGCGAACAAAATTGTTATCTAGTAAAAATTCAAGGTCAGTTATAGTATCAAAAAAGGTCCAATTGACATAGTTCTTTTTTTTTTTTTGTTACTAAAAAATGACCTAAAAGAGTTTGAACATATATATTCGCATTCCGACTTTTTAAATGCCCTTTTAATCAGGTGTGTGATTTTTTTCTAAATAAGATTATGAGGCAACGTGCATGGTATATAGGGTAGAAAAATCAAAACTTTGAACAGATTCGAAATCTCCAATATAAGCATGCAATTTATCATGTACTTCCAACGAATTTTTGACACTCTAAAAGTTATTAATTTCACTATTTTCAAAGGCCTTATTTGAACAATTTATTACCAGGTTTTTGATTGTACCAAGTGTACTAGTAAGTAGAATAGATAGTTTAGTAGTGGAACAATGGCTTGAAGACGAAATAAATCTATATTTGTAAGGAATTTGTGCAGCTTCGGAAGCCAGTACATAGTTGGAACTTTCATTGTATTTGGTTTTGCTTGTAAAGAGGTAGCAAAAAGTTTATGTTTGTTACAGATGTCATTTTCCGAAAATGGAGTCAGTTGGAATGTTGGTGAATTCGAGATTTCCTTTTGTAGAACATCAATGTAAAATTTACGTCAAACAATTATAATATCGTTAGCAGCCTTATCAGCCGGGATAAATATATATTCCTTGGCGAGTTCTTTTAGCTTATGTTTGTTACGGGAAATTGGGCTATTATGGTTGTTGTTGGGAGTAAAATGATCTTTGAAATGTTGAATACGTATATCAACTATGTTCATTACCGAATTAAAAAAAAAAAGAATCTAATTATTTCTTGTCAGCTTTTTCTCGTTTTATCCATTTAGAGCAGTAAGTACGGAGTGATTCGTGGATGATGTTAAGACACTAATTCCAATTAATAATTTACAGGGGACAATATTTAGGTCCATTACTGAGGAATGCTTTACAGCACCTAGAAGTGGCCTATATGTATTGTTTTCAATGATTATGGCATATGGTGATGCAAAAGTTGAATATCAATGGCGAAAGAATGTAGCTGTCTTTTCTACGGGATATACGAACAAAGCAAACGGTAGTACTCAGTCTCAAACATATGTCTTTGAACTGAAGATAGGTGATCGTGTTTACATTAAGCACCGAACTTCATCTAGTCAAAAACTATATGGACACCGGTGCTCTTATTTCAATGGTTACATATTACAATAAAAAAAGTTAAATTATTGTCTTGTTTTATATTACATGTATGTGACGGTATATATATATATATATATATATATATATATATATATGTCTGTATTAAATGCATAGCGTTACGTTAAAGAGTTGTTATAATTCCTAGCTTTACTTTAATTCCTTGCTACACTGTATGTAGTTTCAATCAAATGATGATACCATTGGATATACTAATATCTAACCGGATTATAGTATGGTGAATTTGGCATAAATTTGCAAAGCTAAATACATATTTATGTAACATTCATACCAACTAAAACACACAGTCAACTTCCAACATACTTTTGATTTTTTTTCCCATTTTTTCGAACTAGGAAATTTAGTATTTATTTGGCAAAGTTACAAAATTAGGTACCAGTTTTGTGTTTTTAAACCAGATCCTAAAAACTTACAAAATGATTTCATAAATATTGAAGATGTGCACCTTCTTTTTTAGTATTATTTGTCATTTCTTCAACAAATAATAATTAATAGGTGGTCACAATTTTTATTATTACCTATATCTCTAGAGCTTCTCTGAAGGTTTGCAAAGCTAATGGTTTTGTGCTTTCAATATAGAGTAGTTACAAGATTTCCCCCTCTTTTTGGCGAGCCTAGCCAATTTGTTGCGGAAAAAACACAATAATCC